TTTGTTTTTCAATTAGGGTGGGCAGGATAATATTCCTTTACTGCGACGTGAGTGCATAGGAGACGCTTCGGAGAAGGCTTTTTTAAAGTTTACTGAAGACAGGATCGGAAATGTGCTTGCCTTCCGAACTGCCCATCCAAAACTTGCCGAGATTCCATTCAACTCAGCAAATAAGTTTCAAGTCTCCATCCATCACTGCCAGGAAAATGACAAATTGAAGCAGGGACCACTGTTAGTGATGAAAGGGGCACCAGAGCGCGTCTTCGAACGTTGCTCAACCATCTATATGAAAGGGAAATCGTTGCCAATAGTCAGGCATGTTCGGGAGCAGTTTGATGAAGTCTTCCTTAAACTTGGTGGTATAGGTGAGCGTGTTCTTGGTTTCGCCGATTGCTATCTGCCTAGGCAACCATACTCAAACAAAAATTTCAAGTTTGACACTAACAAAGTTAACTTCCCAATCAAAGAGCTGCGATTCCTTGGCTTCGTCTCGTTAGTGGATCCCCCACGTGCCTCAGTGCCCTACTCCATTGCCAAGTGCCGTGAAGCAGGCATTCAGGTCGTCATGGTGACCGGAGACCATCCGGTTACCGCCAAAGCGATCGCCCGAGCAGTGGGTATAATATCACCGAACAGTTACACTCGCGAAGAGTTGGCCCAACAACGCGGTCTATCCATCGAACAGATTGACCCTCGAGAGACCACAGCATGTGTGGTGCATGGAGGCCAGTTGCGCGAGATGTCAACCGGTCAACTGGACGAAATACTCAACCTTTATTCGGAGATTGTATTTGCACGAACCAGTCCCACACAGAAGCTGAACATCGTGGAGAGTTTTCAACGGCGTCAAAAGTTCGTTGCTGTGACAGGTGATGGTGTCAACGACAGTCCAGCTCTGAGACGAGCCAACATAGGCGTGGCAATGGGAATCTCCGGCAGTGATGTCAGTAAACAGGTGGCTGACATGATTTTGTTAGATGATAACTTCTCGACCATCGTGACGGGAATCGAAGAAGGTCGTGTGATCTTCGACAACCTGAAAAAGTCGATCGCTTATACGATGACCTCCAAAATACCTGAACTTCTACCCTTTATTCTTTTCATGTTGTTCGATCTTCCTCTGATGATGGGCACAGTGACCATCCTCTGTATTGACCTGGGCACCGACATGCTACCGGCAATATCGATGGCCTACGAGGTGGCAGAAAAAGATATCATGAAAAGGAAGCCTCGCGACCCGAAGAAAGACCGTCTTGTGAATGCTCGTCTCTTGGCGATGGCCTTCCTTCAAATTGGAGTCATGCAGGCTCTAGCTGCTCTGTTCACGGCATTTCTAGTGTTTTCCGTGAACGGCTTTCTTCCCGACCGGCTGTACGGCTTGCGGTCTGATTGGACTGACAAGACGAACAAAGCCTTGATCGACAGCTACGGTCAAGAGTGGACGATGAGCCAGCGCATGGAGCTACAGTACACAGTATATACTTGCTTCTTTGTCACTGTGGTGATCGTTCAATGGACTGATCTGCTCATTTGCAAAACGCGTAGACTATCCATATTTCAACATGGCTGCGCCAACAACAAAATGACGTTTGCCCTATTCTTTGAAACCGGTCTTGCTCTGCTTCTTCAGATGGTGCCCGGTCTCAACGTGGCGTTGCAGTTGCGGCCAATGCGGTACAGTTGGTGGTGCGCAGGGCTGCCGTGGGCACTTTTAATTTTGATTTATGATGAGCTGCGAAAGGCCTGGATACGACGCTATCCGGACGGCTTTATTTTCGAAGAGACGTACTATTAAGACAGCCAAAGTCCCATTAAAATCAAGTAGAGGGCTCTAATGAGAGAGGAAAAAGTGAATTACATATCAAACTAAATTTTACCCTTATAGTGACTGGAGCGAACATAACTCATTCACACACTGTAACCTGATTGTATGGTGACACTTTGCTATAGATAATTTAAAAGCTCATGAAATCAGTGATTATTGCTTCATGTTAGTCTCTTCATTTGTTAATTGGTTCCACTTTACTTACTTAATCTATATCCTATCGTTGACGAGGCCGTATTGACCATAGTTGATTTCGTTGATATTTTTAAAATTTACACATGTTACTTCTGCATATTGAGCGTATTATTTACCTCGCGACAAAGCCCATTTGAGATATTTAAACAAACATAGGATTTACTTTCTTTACCGTTTACGCAATTTTCAAG